TGTAGAAAAACAAATACAGATTGTATTTTAGCGTATCAGTGTTATATGGTCATTTAGGCCTTGTTTGTTGGCTTCAATTCCTTTTCCAAACAGCAAACTGAATAACAAATTAGTAGCCTAATTTAGTAAATTAGAAAAGGGGGAACTGTGTGATCAGTTTGAATTAGTTGTCTTTGTACCTTGATTCAAATGAAATAAATACATTAACAAATGTATTTTTTATTTGTTGTAATGTGTTAACTTTTTAGCAAGAGATATGCACAAAAATCTTTTTGCAAAATAAATGAACACATACATAAATAAATGAAATAATAATAAAAAATAAAAAAAAAAGCAAATTTGCACTATAGTCTTTTGAGCAGATATTTCCAAGAAAAATATTTGATTATTCTAGAATATGCATTTATTTGAAAAAGCAAATTTGTCTAAAAAAGTATTTCTAAAATTACTGAAAACAATATGGGCAAATCAAAACAGTTAAACTTAACATTTGATCGCATATTATTTAAATTGTGAGTAACATCTAACATTTTACATTTAGAAAACGAAATGTAAATGGTTTAAGTTTAAAATACTTAACAACTAACAAGCTTTGTAATATTCTTGATAATGTTTTTGCCATTTTTAGTTATTCTTAGTTATTCAAATAAAACAAAAAACATCATCCAGTCATTCAACTGCAGTGATGTTTCATCAATCCAATGGTTTTAAAATGAGAATGAAACTCCTCAGAGATTTACACTGGATTTTCTATTATGAAAATGGTATGGAAATTATGCTGGACTTGCTCAAAGAGAGCACTATATCCATGTTTGCAGACACAATGAACACATTATCAAAGACAAAAAGCACTTCTTCAAATGTCTACAAATATTTGACATTTGTCATTAAAAAAGAAATCTTATAAAATAAGCTTAGCAAAATTCCTTACAAAAACTCTCATAAACAAATCCCTATACACTAATTCAAACTTTTTTACCAGAAGAACATGAAGTACTGCATGTACTGTACTCTCCAGCAGGTTCTTGTGCTGTATTACATAAGTAAATTGCACATGTAAGTTGAGCAAAATGGCATTTTGTGATAAAGCGTAAAAGTATGTACACACTGCACACATGACAGTAAGCACAAGGCACTATAAAACATATGACAGCTCAGTATGCATACACAGGACACTGTGGGAATATGACAATATGAACAAAACAGAATGTGATACGAAGGCTAGTTATCACATGGGATAGTCACAAGAGCAATATCTCAGCAACCATAAGATTTAAGGTCAAATTACACAATTTTTTGTTTGTTTTTAGAAGGGGATTGATTTTATTTGAACATCTAGTTCAGGGGTGTCCAAACTTTGGGATGGCCACTGTCCTGCAGAGTTTAGCTCCAACTTGCCTCGGCACACCTTTCTAGTATGCCTAATATAAGAGCTTGATTAGCTGGTTAAGGTGTGTTTAATTGGGGTTGGAGCTAAATTCTGCAGGACAGTGGCTCTCCAGGAGCTGGACTGGACTAGTTCAAAACCCTCTATATTCTCCTAAATTCTATTCTGCAAATTAAAATTCCAGTATCATCATGTTTTTGCTGCATCTATAATAAACCTTATTTTGCAACATGATAGTAAGCTATTTCCTGTGAATGTGCAAGACTATTGATTCATTAGCTGATAAAGGCAAATAAACAGAAGAATAAAAATGAGGCCTTCAGTGAATGGGTAAACGATTTGCGCAACAACCAAGTGTGTTTATGATCATGATAATAAATTAATCAATCAGTAAATAAAAATATTATTATAACAGACACCAGTTTGCAGTGTCAAGCAGCATAACAAACTGTTTTTGCACAGGTAGAATAACTGGAAGTGAACGACACCGGAAGCCCCGCACATTATAAATAAAAATGGCCATGCCCACTCTTACATTACAAAATAAGGTGGACTGAGTAAACAAGTGAGCACCATAAAACCAGACTAGCATCAACAGTCAAAGATATAATGAAAACTATTTTTTTCCTCCTTACTAAGATATTACGATCATGTGCCACCTAACCATGTGACACTTTATTCTAGGCAATAGATTGCAAGATAGATGTCACACTTTAGTAGCCTACTGTAAGTTTAAATCAATTTCTGTAGAGGTACGTACCTTAACATCATGACTATTTTATGACAAAAACTATTTCCACCATTAAGCAGAAAAATAAAAATCACCGAACACGCCTTTTATAGGTTCATAATTAGAAATGTGAAAACACTTAACAAATTGCCTCAATAAAGATGTGCCAATTTGCACCAACCTGATAATTAAAATGACTCTTGTCCTAAAAACACAGTTCAACATTTTAGTTAAAATCTGTTTCCAGTCTACATTCATGTGCTTTATCGCTGTGTTAAAGGGGTCATATGATGCGATTTCAATTTTTCCTTTCTCTTTGGAGTGTTACAAGCTCTTGGTGCAAAAAACTGATCTGTAAAGTTGCAAAGACTAAAGTCTGAAATCCAAAGAGATATTCTTTATAAAAGTTAAGAGTCAACCACACCC